CGGGCCGGCGCGCACGGGCCCGGCGGGGAGGCGCGGGCTGCGCCGGGTTTGGGGGTGGGGGGGACAGTCCAGTGTGGGAAGCCGGGAGCTGCCTGGTTGGCAATGCAGTGGGGAACAAAAGAACGCGGGAGAGAGGGAGGGGAAGTTTGGGGGACTTTGGGACTGAAGTTTTGCTGCGGATCCTGGAAGCAGCGGGCGCTGCCTCTAGTCTTAGAGAGCATTCCTAGGGAGATCTCCCGGTCCTGAGAGACACCGCCAAGCAAGGAGGCAGCTTTTCTTCTGGAGGAAACTTTCCAGGCCAAAAACTGTGTGTGTGTGTGTGTGTGTGTGCGCGCGTTTCCCTTTCCCCCATCCTCTGCTCTGAACAGTGGTGTTTTCCAGCCTGTCTGCCCTGAGGCTCACATCTGTCCAGCCGGGTGCCAGGAGGCCTGGATCTCCAAGGAGCAGGTCTCTGGGACTCCCACTGCAGCCAGTGGGGAAAGAATGCTCTTCAGGGCATCCCATGGTCCTAACCCACCACAGTAGCGTTCTGGGACTCTGGAGACAGCTGTCACAGTCAGAGAAGCCAGTCTGGGACAGGGGCTTACCTTTGCCCCTAGTGCCAGGAGGTCCCTGCCAAGGCCGCGCGGGGCTGGAAAGGGGGAAGACACAAAAGAAACTGAGATGTTGCATGTCAGCTCTCTCATGCCACAGGCACCAGAGCTGTGGGAGCCAAAGTCAAGGTGCAGCCCCCATGTGTGCTTGTGTGTTCTTTGTCCGTGTAGACCCTCCATAACCTCTTCACTTCTGCTGGGGCAGAAGGGTCTTGCCCCTGGAGTGACCAGACAGCCAGGCACTGGGGCAGGCTGTTTGCCCAATCCCATGACCCTGAACAGGCTGCCTGGGACTCACGGGGACAAGATAGCAAAACTTTGCCTTGACTCCGTGCCTCTGGCTTCAGCCTGTCTCCAAATAGCAGGGCCAGGGCAGTGTCACGGGTCCTGCTCTCGACACAAGGCTGGGGGCCCCGTAGGACTCTTCCGCTGTCACACCCTCTCTGGGCGGTTGGGTCACAGGCGGGAATAGGAAGCCCTGCTAGTGGGGGGACAAGCCAAACCCCTTAGCCTTTCTCCTCCACACCTGCCAGGCTGCGGACAGACCGGGTCATTAGCTGTCATCTGTGTCGCTGGGTGCTCGAGGTGGTTTGCATGGAGTGGACCATGGTGTCAGACGTGGCAGACCCAGCTTTCCAACCTAGACCCACACTCATGAGCTGGCCCTCCAGGAGTGGCAGTTTCTGTGGCCCATCTGCCCTTCGCTCACCTGGGGGAAGGGATGACCACACATCTCCCACGGAGCTCGGAGCTCGTGGCAAGGCCCAGCTGGAGCACTGCCGTGAGACGGTGATTAGCCAGAGCATGCACAGGCATGGAGCAGACCCCAGCCGTCTGCCCCTGCCCCCGTCACATCCTCCCTGGACTTTTCCAGAGGGGACAAGGGCTTCCTTTTCAGGGAAAGGGAGTGTCTCCGGACTCTGTCCTTGTCACTCTGTACAACTGATCTGCCTTTACCTGGCCCTGTGCAGGACAGGCTGCTGCCCTCAGGGGCCTGCAGTCCAGTGGGGGCCTAGCGGGGCGCAGGATGCACGCAGGCATGACCAGCCGAGAGGTGGTACAGAGGAGGTGCAGAGGTGGCGCCCCTGCAGCAGCTGGTGCCCTCGGCCTCCCCGACGTGGTAGCTGTGGAGAAGCGGGATCAGGGCAGGCAGGACGGTGTGGAGTCTTCCTGGAGGAGGGGCAGCAGGCCTTTAAGGATGGGTAGGAAGCCAGCGTGATGTAGAATTTCACTTCTGGTTGGAAATGGGAGTGAGGTGGGAGCTTCGAGGAGGCGCGGGCTATCCCGTCTCAGATTTCATGCTAGGGTGGGGCCGCTGAGCTGGGACTTCAAACAGGATTCTGGAGAAGGCTCTGCACCAGGGTGAAGTAAGGCTGTGGGGAGCTGGCCAGAGCCCAGGTGGGGGTGCCCAGAGCCCAGGGCCAAGCGCAGGGGCCAAGTGCACCCCCACTCCTGTCTGGTGTGACTGCTGCTCACACCCTCGGGCCCCTGCTGAGCGGGCACACTCCCCTGCAGGGTGCTGCCCTCAGCTGGCCTGCCCAGCCTACCCCAGCCCTCTTCCCATGCCTTCTCTGCCTGCCCTGCAGCCCTGACCCCAGGGTTGGGCGTCCTGCCTGCCTCTGCTCACCAGCCCTCTCCCTTCTCCCCCATCTCCCCGCCTTGCTCACCTGTGATGGCTCAGGTGAGTTCCGGGATAGCCAGGCCCCTCCATGCGAAGTCCCCTGGCCTTCACTGTCTGAGTTATGGTAACAGCGGCCGTAAGGGCTGAGACCCCGAGACCCTGAGAGGTTCCCGGATCTTCTGGCAAGGGCTGGTCTGTGTGTTCAGAGCTGGTCCTGCCAGGTCCCCCCTCAAGCCCTGGCCCATGTAGACTTCAGGGCAGCCCTGACCGCTTGTATGTTGGGACGCCAAACCATGAATGGTGTCCCTCAGCACCGATTGGCAGCCCCGTGACTTGCCAGCACCACTCTGGCTCTGGGAGTGACCCCAAAGCAGGACGTGGGCCACAGCTGATGACCTAAGCAGAGACCACAGGGCCAACCCTGAGTGGCCCTGGGCCAGTGAACCATGCCTGCACTTCTCCCTTGCTGTCCCCATCCTCGGCCCGGAGCCCAGGCATGGAAGTGGGGCTGCAGAGTAGTAGCAGGGATCCCTACTCCCTTCCTGGGGATCCCTAGGAAGACGGACCTATGAGAAGTCCAGTTTCTCTAGGAACCTGGGAGAAGCAGTAGAACATGCCACCCCGCAGGCCACGGACCGTGGGGTCCCCGGACTCTGGAGGTTAAGAAACTCTCCTTAGACTGGAAGAGAAGGGACTATGGTGTGGCCATCCCCCTTGGGGAGTAACTTCTCCCTTTCTGTCTGTTTCTGACCTTCCTGTAAACACAATGTGCCCTATAGCAAAAAACCTCTCTCTTAAAAAAAAAAGAAACTGTCTCCTTTCACCAGACCACATTCCCCCTCCAGACGTGCTGAGTCACCAACTATGCCCCTATGCCCTGAGTCACCTTCTGGTTTAGGTGCCCAGAAGGAGCAGGAAATGACTCCCAATCGCCTTGGGCTGCAGATGCAGGAGCCATTGGGAAGCCCTAGGAAGAAGGACCCGTGTCTCTAGGAATTTGGGAGAAGATACTAGGAGAGGGGAAAGGAGTCGAATGTGCCCCACACAGGCCACAGAGGACCTCGGGGTCCCCAGGCTCAGCTATTGTCCCAGTCCCTGTGGAGCGTGCGCACTCCTGTCCATTCCTAAGCGCACCCTGCTTCGGGGTCGGGGCCCGTTTAATGCGGTATGCACTTGCAGGTATCTTGTGTTTGAACACACTGAAGCACGCACGAGGACATGGTCGAATGTGTCTTTGCACACATTTGTGGGCATGTTCCTGCTTTCTGGGCACGTCTGTTCACTGTGCTCCAGATAGTCTGGAATAGGCGACGCTAGCAGTGCAGATACGCACAAGTGTGTGTGCAGGCCTCGAGCGTGTCTTCACCAACTAGAAGCTCCGTTTGTGTGATGGACCACACTTCCACCCTGCACGCGTGGCGCTGGGCTCTTCTGTCAGCCAGGCTCCTCCTCCTAACCATCCTACCCCAGAAGGATGGGACCATGCCCTCGGGGAGGGGACTTTGGAATCAAGAGGCCACCCTGGAGGAGGATTCTTCTCCAGGCCCAGACCTGGGATCTGGCTTGCCCTTCTCCTTCCTGCTTCAGTCCTGGCTGTGGAGCAGCCACGAGTGCTCCTGGCTGGTTGACAGCGGAAAACAAAACCAAAACTTTCTATCTTGTGTGGAAAACAGCTACTAAGCTGCTACCCGGACCCTGACCCTGACCCCTGACCCTGGGGATTCCTTGGGTAAGAAGGGGCATTCTGGGCACTCCAGTGTCCAGATTCCCTAGCTCCCCCAAGGGGACCCATATGGGCAGGCTCCGGGCCCAGCTCCTGGCCATAAGGCTGTCCTGCCCACCCCTGCCCCACCCCCACTCTGTTCCCATGCATTCTTCAGCCATGACATTCCCACCACAGGGCGCCCGCTCCCAGCTGAGCTCTGCAGCCGGCTGTCCTGTTTGCCCTGCACCCTGCCCTAGTCCCACACCGCCTGGTCCCACAGCCAACGCACTTCTGTACTCGGACCACACTCAGTGTGCAGGGCGCGGGTCTGAGAGGGTACACAGACATCCACGAGTTCACGGGAGGCCATCCGGGGCTACCCAAGTGGCCAGCTGGAGGGTGCCTACTGTGTCCCCCCCGTGCCAGCTGCCAGCCTTCACTCAGCAGTCCTCGGACGTGCGCTCCTGTGGAGGGGAAAGCGGAGTTCAGGAGGGCTCACAGGGCGTCAGCTAGTCACACCCACGCTGGGGTTCCGAGACACGACAGTCTGCCTCGGAGACCTGTGCTTTGTGTGTGTCCAAGGATGAGTTCATCATGCATGCATGCGCACATGTGTGTGTGTGTGTGTACGTGTGGCAGTGCCCTTGGGTGTGGGGGCTGGACGTGCAGTCCATAGACGGCAGTGCTGGAGGCCACTTGGCCGGCCACGGGCTCAGATTCCCAGGTTGACCTGAAAGCATGCAGGTCCATGCTCGAGCCCCGGAGCCCCAGGAGCCCCAGGAGCTGGAGGGCGGGGGAAGGGGGCTCCATGGAGGGTGCTTGCTTTTCTTCCCTCTGTTGCTCTTGTGTGTACACATGCTGTCATTAACATTTTTAAAAAGAAGATACAGCAGGCAGCTGTGTGGCACAGTGGTCAAGCCCTGCTCAAGAGGCCAGATCCCACCTGGTGACCACTGTTCAGGCTCTTGGCCTGGCCTGCAGCTTGCTGAGCACTCAGAGGGGTCCCAGTGTCCACGGACTGGAGGGCTGAGTAGGGGTCACAGCCTGACCAGACCCTGGGAGGGTGCTCATCTCCCTGCTTCCCTGTCTGTGTCTCTCCCTCTCTCGTGCGCACACACACTCTCGGTGCACAGAAAGCATTCTCAAAGGTTCAAAGGTGTAGGGGCACTTGTGGGGCACTGCACACCTGTGTGGCTGTCAGTGCGCATGCGTCCACGTCCGTGTCCTTGGAGGGTGACTCCATCCCACATCCTGCCATGCCACTCCTGCGGGTCAGCTGAGAAACGGCTTCCTTACTTGTCCATCTGTTGCTGAACCAGGCCACCAAGGGTGGCGTTTTAAATACGAGAAGATTTCTCACGGGCTGGAAGAGGCTCTGGGCCACTTTCCGGCTGGGGTTCTTGGGCGTCGCTTCCCTCCTTAGGCCTGAGTGTTCTGACCTCTCCGGTCAGTGAGGCCAGCTGGAATGTGGCCACTAGGTCCTCTCTCCATGGAACGCTCTAGGGAAGGGCCTGGGGTGGAGTGTGGCTTTCGGACCTGCCGTGGGTGGGCTGGGACCCGATGAGCTCATCGGTGCGAACGCACTGTCAGCTGGCAGGCTCCACGTGGATTTCGCTGGGTGTTGACGTCAGGCGTCATTCTTACCAGTTACTGGCTTAATGGGTTTAGAGCCTGCAGCTGGTGTGGAGTGTTGGCTCTTGTTCATGCGTTTTCTTTAGGGCCGTCTGTGACTGCGTGTGTATTTGGGGGGACGTGTGTGTCTGAGGGAGTGCCTGTTATTGTGTGTGTGCATATTTAAAATCTCGGTTTTGGAAAAGTATGATCTAGTGTACAGAGATCTCAGGGCTGGGAATGGGGAGGCCTGCAGGGTAAACCCAGCCTTGCCAGTGCCTTGCAGCGTGGTCTTCAGTAGACCCCTTCCCTCTGGGGCCTCGGTTTCCTCGTCTGAAACAGTTTCATGACGGCTGAAGTCACCGCGGTGTGCTGACCCCGTCTAGGTGAGTCTCGGGTCAGAAGGGCTGCATGGCACCTCGCTCGCTCGCTCGGGCAGACACAGAGTGCCTTCCGGGTGCAGGTGCAGCGTGCTGGGCCAGTGTGGCTGGGATGGCTCCCGTCTGATGGCATGGTGTGGCCTGCTCCGTGTGTCCACAGCACGCTAACTGCACGTTTCTGACTGTGTGATAAAGCAAATGTGTGTGTCCACCAGTGGCACCAGCTGTGGAGGAGAAACCTGTGGTAGGCCTCAAGGTTAAAACAACTCGGATAATGCCGAAGGCCAGGCGGAGCAGCAGGGCTGGGATGAGAAGCAGATGTCGCCAGGGGCGGGGCTGCACAGACGCTGGCCTGGCTCCTCCCCCGCCCTGCCCTGGCTCCTCCCCCGCCCTGCCTCCGCCTTCCACAGATGACACC